ATATTTTAGTATATTTTAACATTTTTACAGGTAGCGGCAGCAGCTACTGGTTTAGCTCAGAGAGCTCTAGACGAAGCAACAAAATATGCAATGGAACGCAAAACATTTGGTAAACCAATAGCGGAACATCAAATAATAGCTTTCATGCTAGCGGATATGGCTATTGGTGTTGAGACTTCTAGAATGACATGGATGAAGGCAGCCTGGGCTGCTGATAAAAATTTACCGAATGCTACAATGCTCGCTAGTATTGCAAAATGTTATTGCAGTGATGTAGCTAATAAATGTGCTACAGACGCTGTACAGGTAAAGTACAATAATGTATATTAATGAATTTTTTATTAAACTATACAGTTAGTAAGAAGATGAAGTTGATTCAATATGTTTTTATAATTTATCGTATGTGACTTTTTTTTAGGTTTTCGGTGGTGCAGGTTTCAATTCTGAGTATCCAGTAGAAAAGCTTATGCGCGATGCCAAAATTTATCAGATATACGAAGGTACTGCGCAGATTCAAAGACTGATTATATCGCGTGCTCTTTTCGACGAAGCTAAACAAACAAGTAACTGAACAACTAAGTAACAACTTGATTTAAATTGCATCATAAAATTTATTTTTATATTTATTATATATGTAGTATTTTTATAAACTACAAGATAATTGGGAAGTAATTCATACGAATTCATACGCGTTATTCGTACGAAACATCGTTATCGTTACAATTATTTTTTCAAATAACGAGAGTTACCTCTCTCTTGACTCTTCTCACTCGCGACATTATATTATTTTGTTTTGATTTATATTGATGATGATGTAGTTATTATATTTTTGGATAAACATAACGAATATAAACGTTTTATTATTATTTTATACATGTACGTGTATGGAACGTGCATAAGTGTGAATATAAAAAAAAGAGAATTATGTGTTTGATCATATTGGGATTAATTATAGATTTGAGGTAATTATAGGTTTTGTGTTGAATTGGTCAATTAGTGATATAGATAATTGAATGCCACTCTGAAACAAAATCAATTCGGTGAAAAAATAATGAAATTGTAACGATTTGATATTTTTGAAGTAATAATAACGCTAACGAGTTACTTTTTACAATGGCTAATCAAAAATGGTAACAAATTACTTCTTAAAATAACTTTTAATTATGATGATAATTTTATATATATATA